CTTTCATAACGATCCCAACGAACATTCCTTTGAGAAGGTTCCTGATACTATCCCTGTACCTTCCACTGTTTCGGCGCATATGTGAACACATTTGTGACTAACAGGGTTTTCTAGAATCCCACCACTCCACCACAGAGTCACCGCAGTAGACGTTAGATGAGCGCTGTCGCTCTGCGGCACTTGTTATGGTTAAATTGCTGCATTACACTTACTATTTTACTATATTGTTCGATGCGAACATACACTCGTGACTCATACACAGCCCATAGCAAGCAATTAATGTCAGGACCATAATATCAAATCGTCGAGGTTTTTTGGATTTTTAACTAGTTGAAAAACAATCTTATCAGGTAAGAATTTGACGATACATTTAGTTCCGTCAGTACTTACTTTTAATGTAAAAACATGGCAACAAAATGTTTACAAATATACACCATAGAAAATTTGTGACGTATTAATTTAAGAAACTACTTGATGTGTCGATTTAATTACGATAATAGATTTTTGGAGTTCATTCAATCCTCTTCAGCACACCAAATGATTCAGTGTTTTGATTTGTAGCTTACATGCCTACTTTTAATTTGACGCTTACAGGCAACCTTCACATGGCAGAAGGTCCCAACGGATAAGTTTGACCCTGACTTTGTCGAAAGAAGAAGGGCGTCCTTAGAGGTGAGCAGTGTGTGTGTGTGCGTGTGTGTGTGCGTGCGTGCGGGCGCGCATGCGTGTGTGTGTGTGTGCGTGCGTGCGTGCGTGCGGGCGGGCGTGCATGCGTGTGTGCGTGTGTGTCTGTGTGTATGTGCGTGCTGGCGGGCGGGCGGGCGGACGATTGCATTTGTAGTGGGGTGGAAGGTGGTGATGACTAGGTGCATGCTCCTTGATGTAAATGGGTGGGCAGTGGTATCATCCTGGATTATCCTGGCGTGCCGTCACACCTATTATTGCTCCTTCGCAGACATTCCTGTTGCGCCTAGCATCGCACCATGAACTGTCCAAGGACTCCATGCTCCTAGGCTTTCTGAGGCAGGAGGATGCATGGAAGGAGTCGGTGATAGCCACAGGTTTCCAAGCAAAGGTAAGATTGTTTGAACTAGATACCAGTTACTCGTGTCATTGACGCTACGTTCAAGAAAAAGACCATGCGTTATATATAACCCGTCGAAGCAGGTTAGGCCACAATTAAAAAATCTTGGTTTGCCCTCACCCGACCCAGGCTGAAAAGTTTGGGTAGGTAGGTAGGCTTCTTTTTTTTGCATGGTGTCTACATGCTCGGATGTGCTTGTGTGGAGATACCTTTTATGTTGAATGTTTGTTTTGCTTGGTACATATAATGTATTGCCTACAGATTTATGTACAGCACTTGATACAATTTGTAAAAAAAAAAATGGGAAAGATCAATAAAAAATTTTGAGTCTGCCCTTTCTTGGCGGGTCAGTTGGGTGAGAGCAAACAAACAATATTTTTATTATGGCCTTATGTTTGTGAGCACTCTGCAAGAACAGTACCATGCTATATACACATTTAATTGTCAGCACTGTCAACATTTTGTAGGCATCAGGATTGGCAATGAAGTGTCTGAGCAACGTGGTGAAGAAAGTTTAACTGTTAATGAGTTCATGGGGGCGATTATTAGCAGCTTGAACTCATCAATTGAGACTAACACCTGAAGAAAATTATCAGTGCTTTCTAGCACGATTAAAGTCTACTTCTCGATTTTGTCCATGATTGTAGATCATGCTTATATTATAAAAAGTACACGTTTGGCGATGTAGATATTAAGATGTTGTGGTTTGCCATGTAGATGTAGATATCTTATTTCAGGTTTGCTCTAAATTGGTGTTAACCAGTAACAACGTGTAATTAATCATGAGTTTTTATGTGTTGTCTAGGCTGACTCAAAGCTGAAGACGATAAGCGCATCATTCCGTGTGAAAAAACCAGACCAGTGAGTATATCAGGCAACGCCGTGAAGGGCGTTGCCATCTGCTTCAAGTGCTTGCACTATGACACAACTGTAAGAGTTTACACGTTGATGTCTACAGCTCTATTTTAGTGTATAATTCATCATTTTATGTCGTCGTTAGTGATGTCACGATCATCGATTATACTCGATCATCGGTTGAACAGTGGCTCGAACCAAGCGCTTAGTGATGTCGCGATCATCGATTATACTCGATCATCGGTTAAACAGTGGCTCGAACCAAGCGCTTGGTTATCAAAATCCATAATCGATTTCATCAAAAAAAAATGAAAAATTTGAACAAGAAAACTTGGAAAAGTGATGAGAATCAGTACATGTATTATAGTTATACACACAGTAGTAAACAGTGCAAAACAAACAGTAAACAGGGCTAAACAAGCACATACATGCACACACGACGTTACGCACACGCAGGCATTCAACACCCCGAGTAACCGATTGTAACCGATCATCGGTTACTTGGGTCCAACCGATGATCGATTACGAAATTACAACCGATTGACAACACTAGTCGTCGTGTATTAAATTCATCATGGCTATGAAGACTAGAACGTCAATGGTCGGCTAATGCACGAATATTCACACAGCGTTAAGTGTAACATTACTGGAAGATAATTCACGTGTTTGTGTCTACACGTATCACTGGTCGTGGTTTGAGTAGAGTAGATTTATTTGATCTACATATTTAGCTGTCAGCTGCCAGATATCCAGTTCAGGGTGCGAAATTAACGGGAGTCCGGAGTCAAATACTCCCAGATTTACTGTCGGACTTCCTGATTTGACGTATGCAGTAGTCCGTGTGACGCTCTGAAAATTCTGCCATACTACCTAGTTCGTTCCAGAGCACAGCCTCGTAGAAATACTGTATTTTTTCAGCTAATATCCAAAGAAAATTTGACAGACATGCAACCGCATGATAAGCACATGCATTATTGTTAATATCTTTAATTTTAAATCTCAGACTGCGGACTGATTTTGCTGCGGACTCCTGTTGTTCAAAAGTTAATTTCTACTCCTGCAGTTATTGATGTGGCAGTGAAAAATGCTCACTCTGTTCATGCATAGTTGCAGTGCTACGGTAGATGTTCCTTATTAGAATGGGAATTTAGTCGTGGAACGTCGTTGTTTTCTCGCATGTTTGCGCGGCAATACAGACAGTTTGAAGAGCTGAAAACTTACTGTGGAGAGCTGGAGGCAAACATCACCAATCTCCTCAAGATCAGAGCTGTAAGTACCAGAAATTTATCATTTGTATTTTGCCCTGTTTGTTCGTTGTCGTTTCAGTAATAACTATATATAGCTGAGGGTGGTTGCTTGTTGTTGAGTAAGCGGCATAGATGGATGAAGAATGTTCAACAATGTTGCAGATCGCATATGATATATTCTATGTGCGTGAATGCAGATATATATATATATATATGATAATATATGATATATAAAAATATATAAATGTGTACTGTAAACTAAAATTTAACTAAGTGTGTATGGAAGACCCACTTGCTCATTCGATACTAAACCAAACCTACAGTTATCAAACAAGTGCCGCAGTGCGACAGGGCTCATCTGGTGTCTGGTGTTCTGCTGATAAATTCATTTGTGCATAGCAAGATGTCTTATACATAAGTCTTCTTTATTCTTAATTGTTTGACTTTCGTAGCCAATTCGAATAAATATAACAGCAGGACTCTGTATCTACACTTCCGCCGTCCACCTCAATGGGCTAATTTTAATAACAAGAACAATAATAACAATTCAAATACAAGTTAATGAATGACATTGACGTTGACATGAAAGATTTACACATATGAGCATGAATTTCAAAGTTTATACTATCGACTATAATTTATCAAATAGAATGTAACTAGAATGATTGTCCCAGAGAGGGACTAATAATACCCCCCCTCCCCCACTTTGAGCTGTTATGATGCCTGTATGTGTAGTGTAGAATTTGTCAACGAATGGCTTTATGCGAAAAATAGCCATTCCACAGAAGGTGCAAGCAAACGCAGAGTGAAATCAAGCACATACGCACGCACACACAGAGAGAGAGAGAGAGAGAGAGAGGGAGAGAAAGAGAGAGAGAGAGCGAGAGAGAGAGGGAGGGAAAGAGAGAA